GACTGCTCCGGTGGAAATGATAGAATGAAGGCTCCGACAATATTTTCCTGCAAAGTCACCAGAATTGAGTCAGTCTCTCTGCGGCAAGGAAGTCTTTCGGCTCGCTGGTACGATGGCATTGGGTAAGACACTGACTTGGCTTCACTTTGGCCTTTTGAAGTTCGGCATAGTAGCGTGGACCAGCGCCGAAGGAAGTAACTCTGCTGCCATCAGCATCTGTGTCTCGGATCATGGTGAAGCGTTCGGCCTACTTAAGATGAAAGAGCGCTTTTAAGAACGATTCAGGCGACGGGTAGAACGGACTGCCATCGTACAAGATGACCGCGGCTCCGACAAACAAAGCGTGAATCGAGATGTTCCACAACGTCCACCCAATCTGTTTTGCGGTTATAAGTGCCAACGTGATGCCCACATTTAACAACTAGGACTCACGTTTGTGTACTGATAGGCTAAATCCCCAGGACCAAGGTTGTTGTGAAGGAGGTATTCTTTCCGACCATTCACGACGAGACCCTTGAATGTATCAGCTTTTCTTCTCCGGCATGTTTCAAAGTCACCGAGAGGAGGCTTACCCCATGTGAGTGGACTATCCCTTTTGGAGTTCCTGTCGTTCCAGACGAGAACATAATGACAGCTGGAGTGCCAAAGGGTACTTGCACAAAATCCACGGATGCGCCGCTATCATGGGACAGGAACTCCTCAAAGGAAACACTACGCTTAGTCAATAATTGCAATCGGAATGACGGGATGCCTTGTAGGAACTGACGTTTCCGACTTTAGGCTCTCTCTGGAGCCGATGATGACGGCCTTAGTCCCTCCACTCTCTTGAAGATGCTGTATAGATGGATCGAGTTTGTCAGAAATGTCATGGCACTTGCCATTGTATACATACGTCGACTCCGCAAACAGAAGACGTGGTTGCAACAATTGAAGGCGGTCACTGAGTAGCTAGCGCTCGTTGTAAATTTCTCTCTTTTGGCAGACTTGGTGCTTGGTACGCACCTTGGAGCCCATGTCGGTTGCAAACGAAGCAAAAATCGCCCCTAATGCCGTGGTAGCAAGGAGCAATGCGAGAGAGCGTATGCAGTTAGAGCCAACCACTGTCCAAGACGTAAGCATGATCCGTTCCAAGCAATGGGTCTGGGGTTGTTCTCACACGCCACGACTTCCTGTCTCTGCAGGCCAGATGATCTGAGAGAGGCAGCATAACGTCGCACGAGTTCACGAAGATCATCCCATGAATACTCCTCAGGCGACGACGAGTTGCTTTCATTCATGTTGACGACTGCCAGACCGTTGAACTTCGGGTCCAGGATATTCTGGGCGAAGTTCAATTGAGCGCCTTCAAAGAAAACCGGGAATTGGTCAATGGCAGCACTATCCTCTATCGCCTAGAGGGACGATTCAACATCCGTCTCCGATGGATTCAGTCTTAGAAGCTGCTCACCTTCGAAGGAGGGACGGTTGCTATGACGCCCGTAAACTCCCATACGGTCAACCAGAAGTCATTCAACCGCGTCACCGAGAATCTATGCAAGTCGGCATAGCTTTCTAACACGACATACAATCAGAAGCTTGGAGTGGGGCTTATCAAGGTAGATGCTCACTAAGGTGCAGGTTATGCTTGCTATTCACGAGATCCTTGAAGTCTTCCAACGGTGTCCGCAAGCCTGGAGGAGGTACATAAGTCGGTTTTGGTGCCATTGGAGTAGTCTATAGTACGGGTTGAGATGTGAAGTCTTGGCAAGGCTCGAGGCTGCTGTCTAAGGGAGGATGCTCATGGAAAAAAACATTGAATATGATTTCTGCAACACTTACGCCCGCGCTGATACCCAAGTAGCTTTTACTACAGTTGAAGAGTCGATGGGGTATGAGATTCAATGTCTGGGCCGTGGTAGATCGATCTCGGCATCAATTCGACAACCAGGTGCTTTGCCTCCTTTCGGTCCGAAGTTCCAAATGGCTGTCCCGAGACCAGCAATGGAGACTCGAGACCCTGCCGCTCCGAGTTTCTAGCAATAGCTTTCAAGTCTCATTCGATGTTCGACAGATGTTGAACCGTCTCGGCAACAGCGTGAATAGACATGGGTTGGAACCCTGTTGGATCTGCCATCATCTCCGTCGGTCCCAAGCCACCAGAGAAACATCCGAGACTTTCCCCCAAAAGACGTCAGTTCAGTCTGGAATCAAGAATTTATCTGATCAATAGTTCAGTTGATGAGCAGCCTTGATCTTTACCTCGATTTTCCTGCTTGAGAGCGAGATGTCTTCCCCCAATGACGCTTTTGTCCTCGGGGTGGGTCTGACCAAGTTCCTCAGACCACGCCAACTGAGACCGTACCCTGAGCTCGGCTTTGAAGCAGGCACCAAGGCTCTCCTTGATGCCCACATCAACTATGATGATGTCGAAGCAGGGATTGCCTGTTACGCGTACGGCGAGACTGCATCCGGCCAGCGTGTCTTCTATCAGTTTGGCATGACCAATATACCAGTCTACAATACGAATAATGCCTGTGCCACTGGCAGTACGGGTCTTCACCTCGCCCGCTCGCTGATCCGTGGAGGGATCTATGACGTCGTCATGGTACTCGGCTTCGAGACAATGCAGGCAGGAGCCATCAAGAGCGACAATGGAGACGGACGTCCAAGTGCGCTCGGCCTTATGACTCGAATGATGGAGGAGACGAGGGGAAAACATGGCAGCGCGAGAAACGTGCAGCTCTTTGCGAATGCCGGGCGACAGTATATGGAGGAGTAAGGGAGAAAATTTCCTTCCAATATCTTTGAACTGACCTCCTAAATTCCGCTGGGTAGGCATGGCGCATCTGCTCGAGATTTTGCGGAAATTGCCCGGATATCGCACCAGCATTCGGCCCGCAATCCGTATGCCCAGTTCAACACGGTGTACAGCCTCGAGGAGATCGAAAACTCGCCAATGATTCACCCGCCTCTCACGAAGCTGCAGTGTAGCCCGACCTCTGACGGTGCCGGATGTGCGATTCTTGTCTCGCGACGATATCTCCAATCCCGCCACCCGGAATTGCAGACACACGCGGTTTTCATGGCTGGCCAGGCTCTGATGACTGATTCCCCCGAGCTTTACTCTGGGAATGCGATCGACCTGGTGGGAAACGATATGACGCGTCGGGCAACGCAAGCAGCGCTTGCCGAAGCAGGCGTTCAAGCACGGGACATTCGCGTCTGCGAGATCCACGATTGTTTCAGCACCAATGAACTCATCCTCCTCGAGGGACTGGGCTTTTGCGACGCGGGTCAAGCACATCATATGGTGCGGAATGGAGATATCACTTATGGGGGGAAGGTGGTGGTAAACCCCTCTGGTGGACTGATTAGCAAAGGCCACCCACTTGGAGCAACAGGACTTGCCCAGTGCGCCGAGTTGGTCTGGCAATTGCGCGGTTGGGCAAACAACGGGAGACTGGTCCGGAATGTTGGCATGGCGCTGCAACATAATTTGGGGCTGGGTGGAGCAGTCGTCGTGACCATATACAAGAGAGCGGATGGACGAAAGAACACCGACATTGGCGTGAGGCAAAGTGAGGAGGAGATTGCCCGGCTCAGTGGCATGGGATACAATCCGGCTGTAGAGGCTAGAACAATCACGAGCCAGATGGCAGAGAAAGTCCGAAGTCGGCGGAGGAATGATTACGCCTTGGGCGAGACGGCGCAGGCCTTACACCATCCAGAGGCGAAACTGTAGAGAAGCGGCTTGGGTATCTAGCAACTATATTCAAACCGTGCCTTGTAAAGAAGATTGGGACAGAGTTCGTTGGTATTTATTTGGCCGCAGCTCAATATGTGATCCAAGAATCATGACTGCTAAGGCAACAATCGGGTGTTAGGAACCGGCATGGCAGTAGTCAGCCACTAGGATGTTTATATCATGCCCTTCGCACCTCGACCACCTTGAAGACCTCTTCAAGTGATCGAGTCATGTATCAATAGACAGGCCATGCCTCAATTCTCTAGTTGAGATCACGGAATCCTACTCCTCTCTCCGTTGCGCTGGCCAGCCTGATAGTTTTCGAGCTGTTCTCGACTCAACAACAACAAAGTTGTCGAGCTGATGTCGACAAATACCAGTGCGCTCCAGACAACCTGCCAGCTTTTGCACCTTGCTCAAATCAGTAGATCATCTTGTTCCCGATCTTCCCAATTCTCTCAATTTCAACCTCGACCAGATCCCCAGATTTCAGATAGACTTGAGGTTTGGCGCAAGCAGCAACACCACTATGCTCACGTCAGTCCAAGGGCTATTTGAGTCTTTTGCAGATGAAAAAAAAAGAAGGGGGACATACTCCGGGGTTCCTGTCATGATGACGCTCCCCTTTCTGAGCGTGGTACCTCGACTCATATGCTTCAGAATGGTGACAATGTCGAAGATCATGTTGTCGGTATTGCCGTTCTGCCTGATCTCCCCGTTGACCAAGGTCTTCAGCTGCAAGTTCTGTGGATTCGGAATCGACGCAGGCGAGGCAATGACCGGCCCAATCGGCCCAAAGTGATCAAACGACTTGGAGAGGCCCCATTGAGTTCCGGATTGCTTTGGCCAGGCCCAGAACCGTGCCGAAACATCATTTCCAACGGTATAGCCCAGGATAGAGTCTGAGACGTCGTCGTCGTCGGACAGGTCTTTCACGTCCTTGGCCAGAATGACGCAGAGTTCTCCCTCGTAGTCCATCTCGGATTTGGCCACTGGTGGGACAGGGATGTCCTGGTACGGGTCGGCAAGCATATCTGCACTCGTCAGCCACCCTGGCCGGTGCGGATCGAGGAATAGAAGGTACTCACCACCGAACTTGGTGAAGACGACGGGATATGCTGGAATTGGAAGCTAATTTCTCACCATTAACCACTTTTGTGTGGTATTGAGTGGAGATAAATACTTACCCCAGCCTCCTCCGCATGCGATTTATAATTGAGTCCGATGGCGTACATGAGAGGTGTTGTTGCCAGTGGACATAGAATCTCAACCATGGTCAGTCAACACGCAAGCACCAGAGATCGGCAACTGCGACAACCTTTGCCACTTGAACATGATTTCCAGTCAAAGGAAATTCAGAAGCCCATGGGTCTGAAATATCGTAGGTTGGGACGGTCTGGCCATGGAGATCCTTCTCCCAGTCGGGGCCAGCCTCGCCGTAGTGAATCTTTCCTTGCGCATCCTCGAATCGTATAAGTCTTGTGAACTTAGCCGGCATCTTTTCTCTTCTGGAGACAGACGAGTCGATAAAACAATTTGGACCAGGCAATTGACATGTGCAGCCAAAGACAGACTTATCCGGCAGTGTGTTATATGATTGATTGCGGTTGATAGTGATTCGTACCAGTGGAAGCAGTGGAAGCACTCGGGTCTTGAGGAGTTGTCATAACAAACTAAACGGCCCGCGCGGTGGATATATCTGGTTTAGTTGACGGGTTCTATCGTTTGGAATTGAAGATCGAGTTCGGTTTCAGGGGGCACTCCATGCCGTTTGGTTTCTGTCGGCCCGAAAGTGTCTGGTCCGAAAGCGGTCGACTTACCACCATTGTCCTTTCTGTCGACCAGCAGTTTACCTGGGGTGGGCTGAAGTGAGGTCAGGCTGTTAAAGAAGATATTTTTGATCCAACAGAACTGCCGTTAGCTGATTTATTTTGAAGACAGCCTCGTTTTTATCTCGACTCGACGACATTCAAGAATCAAACATGACAGATGCCAAAGGCCTTCCAGCTGTGAAACGACATCTCACCACCAACAACGACGACGGTGTGTCAGTCTTCTCTCCCAGAATATCTTCAGACCCTCCATCTAAGCAGCTACCCGACGGGACGAAGATCACCTTTTGTTACGGCTGTCAGCGCTTCCCGGTCGACTTGGCCAGCGAGCAAGACCTGCAGTCCTATCAGCATCTGATTGACAATCCGCCAGGAATCGTGATTCCGAATGGCTTCGCCTGTCGCATCCTGGACCTGCCTCCGAGGTACAACTCGGTCTCGCACCGCACCATCAGCGTGAATTTCAACGTGGTGTTGCAGGGGCAGATGGAGTTGACGCTGAACTCGGGGGAGAAACGAATCCTTGGCCCCGGCGACTCAGCCATTCAACGCTGCGTCGATCACTCATGGAGGAACGTCAGCTCTACTGAATGGGCACGCATGGCTGCGGCCGTCATCCCAGCAGAGCCTTGGCAATTTGGTGGTGTCGACGTCAAAGGCAGTGGAGTTCCAGGGATGGGCGCTTCTTAGAATTCGCGTGCGCGAAAGTGTCCATAGCAGAAGCAAGTCCTGAGGCGACAGTGTTATGGTCATCATTAAAGTAAACCAAGTTGAAGCCAATTTTCCCTTTGGGTCCTCATAGTAAATCCTACCACAATCCATTTGGGTTCTTCGTCTTGTACATAATCAGCTAATCATGACAGGGGAAATCCCTCATGCCCCTCAAATTTGATACCGTCTCTCCAAATCCCTCTAATATTCAGCATGTCTGTAATGTCGGTCATGGGATTTCCTTCCACCAGAACAAGATCAGCCTTGAGACCCGGTGCTATTCTTCCTCGATCCGACCATCCAAAAGCATCCGCAGTGGCACTAGTTGTAGATTTCAAGACTTCCAGCGCTGTCATTCGGGCTTTGTACACCAGCAGGAACATCTCGATGTGTAGGCTCACACCAAAAGCCAGGCCTGGCGCACCTGAAGCGGAGTCGGAACCCCTAATGAGAAAGCAACAGTGTCAGACTGCTTTCCCGCATGAGAGCGCTTTCTTCTGTAGACTTACGTGATGATTTTGACACCCGCCGCTCTCAATTGCCGCACACTGTCAATGGCGTAGTCCCATTTTGCGGTGTCAGCCTTCAAGTGCATGCAATGTTGCATGACCTGCACATCCGAGTGAAGCACTCGGCTCCGGACTCTCGGATCCTCCGAGAACTTCTTGACGATGTCCAATGACTCGCCAGTCATGCTGCCGGAGCAGCCTAGTGTTGGGTTACACCAGGCGCGATTTCGTTGATACAACTCGATCACCTGGGGCGTAATGGGCTCGTCGAAGAATGTATGTGCGAGGCCGTCCACCCCAGCTCTCAACACCTCGATCGTGTCCTTGAGCGACAGCGCGTGGGCAACGACCTTGAGACCTTTTTGATGTGCCGCGTGCACCACCGCCGCCTGGACACTTTCGGTCGGCTGTGCGATGAGACCTGCAGGAATCCCGATAGCTTTGCCCGCCTCGTGCATCAATTTGATGTAGTCGGCACCGTTCTGCAGTGATCTCGCAATGTATGGTTCGGCGTCTGCTTCGGTGGCAATGTTGGGGTACTTGTCGAACTTCTCATGCTAAACGGAAAGAGAGAGGGGCTTGTCAGCTGCATTTGCACATCGACTGTTGCGAGGGTGTAGTTCCACCAAATACCTACTCCATCTTTGCTCAACTTCTTTTCCACGAAAGCCGGCCAACCGCCTGCAATGGTGGCTGCGTAATGACTGCTTTTGACGTCTGGGAAGTCCTTCCTCTCTCTAGCCCACTGTTTCTGCTGAACTGCGTGCTCGTGGACGTTGTGCATGTCCATCAACGTTGTGATGCCAAACCGAAAGCACTGTTCCGGCAGCTTGACATTGCCATATGGATGGCAGTGCGCCTCGATCAGGCCTGGAACAAGCGTGTGGCCAGGCTCGCATACGACGGGAATTCCATCTTTGCTGACGATGTCACCAACTTCAGTGATGATGCCATTCTCTACAAGCACGCTGCTGTTCTCCACCACCTTGTCTCCGTCGAAAAGGCAGACGTCTTTTATGATGAAAGAATTCATAGCAGATATCTTGGCTCTTGCGAGATGAGAAGTGGGAACCTAGTAGCTCCTATGTCAAGAGTGGGCTGGTAGGCATTTACGAGAATTATATATCGGCAATAGAAGCACCAATCGTATTGTGTAAACTCAAGCCTGGGCTCAGTCTCAACCGGTATCTCCTGCTGACCAATCCCCATTTGTTTAGGAGGATTGTAGGACAACTCTATTATTTGGAAGCCAATCTCAGGCTACTAGTCATGCCGGACGATACATATAGTCGTTGCTCCTCGCGGAGTCGGACTCGATGCGACCTCCGCAGCCTCCGGCGATAAGAAGCAGACAAATGAGATTGACTTCACGTAGTAGTAGAAGATCCCGCGGTCTGTCTTTTACCTGGAGGATTTGTAATTCAATAGTCCTAACTCGACAGACCCAAGCTCTCGTCAATACGCTGTGTCCACTCGTCAGTGCAGACCCCGAATAGATCCCGTTATTAAAATAATCGGACAGGACTCCCCAATCAGCGTATGTGAGTGGCCTTAAAAACTACGATAAAATGAGTCCGGGATTGCCAAATGCTGCGTTTCATCGGCATCTCTAGTGATGACCGACAATATTTCTAGGCTGATATGGCTCCTCGAGATAATTGATCTCGTCGTCAGTCAACGATTTGCCTCGAACTTCACATATCTCCTCCAACCTGGCCAGGCTGCTAGCTCCTACAATCGGGATCGTGCCCTTCTGAATGATCCACGCGAGTGCAATGTGGCTCATCTTCCACCCGTGCTTCTCGGCCAGCTCACTGACCCGTTCAATAATCTCCACGTCTCCTCCGTGTAATCCAGCAAATATACCCTTAATGCTCTCCTCGCGCGTCGTCTTGTCGGAGCCCAGCGGGCGCGCAAGCAAGCCACGATAGAGCGGCGCCCACGGAATGAGACCAACCCCGGTTTCGCGGCAGTACCGGTTCATCTCACGCTCCTCTTCTCGGTAGCACAGGCTGTAGTGATTTTGCATCGAGATGAACTTGGTCCAACCGTGGATCTCGGCCGCGTGTTGCATCTGTGCAAACTGGTACGTCCACATACTCGACGCTCCTGTGCTCATTAGATATTTCTCCTGGGTTTTGTCGGCTTCTGCTTCATCTCGATGCCAGTGTAGACGAGCACGGGCCGCATAATTGATTGACTTACCAATGTATCGAACCTTTCCACTCTGCACCAAGTCATGCAATGCTTTCATCGTCTCCTCAACCGGGACTGTCGGGTCGAAGCGGTGAATCTGCAAAAGATCGAGATAATCTGTCCCGAGTCGCTCAAGGCTGCCATTGACGGCGTTAAATATTGCAGTACGGCTTAAACCCTCTTGGTTCACGTAGTCCTTGCTTGCTGATATCTGTTTCGGGTAGCTAATGACATGTACGTTAGGCTCTTCGCCCACTGGACTGAAGCACTTGGACAGCAGAACGACTTTGTGTCGAGGGATGTTGTGCTTTCTCAGGGTGTTGCCAATCATTTGCTCCGAGAGGCCGTTCGAGTAGACATTGGCAGTGTCCCAGGTATTAAGACCGCGATCAAAGGCACCCTTGAGAATCCCGTCCACTTCGTCCGGATCATCCAAGACCCAGGGCTGCCAGTCTTTGTGGCCTGAGCATTATTAGGTGGAAGGACTAACAAGACAAGCAGTGGTGGAAATACCAAAAGACATAGTCCCAAGAATGGGGACCGAGACACGAAGGCCTGAATTACCCAACTGTGCATAGGAAACCTTTGTGTTGGCTAGACTCTCCTGTAAAGACCGTGGTAGGACCGCGGGGGCCCCCATGATGCATTTGGTTTGTTATCGAGAGAAATAGCTGGAAGTCGGGATCTTAAGAACGAGACAGGTAAGTCGTCAATAGTTACCACGATGTGGCCTTGAAGAACTCAACGCAATTGTATTCGCACGGTGCTCGCTCGGAATTCTACGAGTGATTTATATCTTTACAATATAATTTGAAACAATGCCACCATCATATCAATTCTCATTGGTCGCTGAAACGAAAAAGGCATTGCGTCTATTCCATCCTAGTTGGGCCATCCACCTAAAGCTCGCAGTGCTTATCCGGGTTATTAGGTGCTAAACCCTCCAGACACCTTGTCGTGCCAAGCCTGATCAGCCTGTTAAGACACCTCCACTTCAATGCCATGTCATCGTTGACGCAGTCAGTGTTCCGTCTTCGGCCCGCAGTGTCTTCCCCAAAACGGCCCGAGACATCCAAAACTTCGGTCCGCGAGAACGGGATCATCGTGGTTTGCAATTCGAGGGTCGAGAACGGCCCATTTTATGGCTGCTTAGGATTTCCAGGCTTCATCTTCAGGAATGGGATGTAGACAACACCGCCAATTGGCAGGAAACCCACACCACGTCTTCCAACATGGATGGGTACGGCGTAGAGAGCACAGCTGATTTCTGGCCACACAAACGGATGACTCTGTCTCTCATTCGTCAAACTTGATGACGTTTCTCAGCTTCCCAATCCCCTCAATCTCGACCACTACCTCATCCCCGTCCTGCAAATATTTGGGGGTCTTCATGGCCGCTGCAACGCCACCCGGTGTACCTGTCATGATCAAACTTCCCGCTTCCAGCGTCTGACCAGTACTATAGAAGCTGACCAGCTTTCGAACGCCAAAACATAGGTCCGACGTGTCAGAGTCCTGCCTGAGCTCGCCGTTCACATATGTTCGGAGCCGCAGTCCTGAGGCGTCGCCCAGAATCCTGGGGCTCACGATTGCCGGGCCCACGGGGGCGTATTTATCGAACGACTTGCCGAAACACCATTGGGGCATCATGCCGGCTTTGTCTTTGTCAAGCTGCCAGTCGCGGCATGAGACGTCGTTCCCAACAACGTATCCCGCCACGTAGTCAAGGGCCTGCTCTTCGCTGACATTCTTAGCGTCTTTCCCAATGACGATGGTCAGCTCGCCTTCGTAGTCGCACTTGGATTGAGAGAGTTTGGGGACCGGGATGGGAGCACGCGTGTCGCCGACGGCCTGTCCGGGCTTGATGAACAATGTCGGATTTGTTGGTATATCCCAGTTAGATTCAATAACTAAGATTTGCAGTTAGTGAGATCAAGTGCGAGAAAAATCTAGACTTACTATGAGTCCGATAGTTGAGGCCGGTGCAACGGATTATGGGCACATCTCTTGGAGTGAAAGGACCGAGAAGCTCCTTTACGAGATCCTCCTCCTCGTCTGATGGTCTTGCGGCCAGCCAGTTGGATCCTTCTAAGGGCCGAACCTTCAGAGTTCTCTCCGCCGCCAGTTGATCGATGTCTGCCGTCAAGTCTGCCAGCGGTTCACCATACCGTGTCTGGCCAGTCTTCGCCGACACGTAGCGAACCAGTCGGTCCCAGCAGGTGAGAGAAGTATGGCCATTAGCCAGGCCGTTGGTGTGGCCATTCACCTCAGGTTTGTGGTAGAATTGAGTAAAGTCCACAAGAAGCCCCATGTCGTTCTGATTCAATCAGCCTCATATTTCCCACCATACAGACAAGTCAACACTGACCTTTTCAATCTCATCAAGAACGCTGGCATCTTCGCGAGACTTATCAAGCTTTGCGAAGAAAGGGTCCTGACCACCGACCAGCGCCGCTGGATCACTTTGTACGCGAGCAAGATTGGCCGTTGATACAGGATCGGTGACGGTTCTGTATATCTCACGCCGAATCTGATCGTATTGGTCGAGTATATCATAGCCCGCTTTGCCGTCATGGATACCCTGGAGACAATCGACCAAGCCTCCCACGTCTGAGATGCCGCTGGTGAGACCGAGACCCCCCCTGAAACCATTAGCCCAGCATGAGGGTCGAGACGTGCAAATACATACATGGGGTTGTTCAGATGCGCAGCGTCACCTGCGAGCAGGATCCGACCAACTCGCATTTTCTCGGCACATCTTTGGTGTAGATTGTAGGGGCTAAATCTTTCGATGGTATACTGATCGGGGGTGGGATTCCCGGGAAGAATTCGTTGCAGCTTAGCCGGCATCCGTTCGTAAAGCTCGTCGTGGGAGAGCGAACCCTTCTCTCCGTAGGAAACACGCCATGTCCCTTGCTGGTCGATCAGAGCTACCACCGACCAATGCTCAGGGTCGACAATCCAGGACGTATCTTCCCAGCCGAACTTTGAGAAATCGTAGCCGCGGATCTGAAATCGCGCAAACATCAGCATATCAATCTTCTCTCTCCACTTGTAGCGATTAAATCAGCGGGAGCCGCGTATTACATTCGTAGCGACCATGATGACATCCCAAGTGTGGCCTGGAAAATTGCTGCCAAACAAGGATTTCCGCACGGTCGATGTGCCACCGTCGCAGCCGACGACGAAATCGCCCGCGAACCTTTGGCCATTCTCGCACTCGACCCAGGCTCTTGTTTCGCTCTGAAGAACGGCCGTCACTCTGTGGTTCCAATACACCTTCGCGTTCGGGAGCCGAGAGAGTTCGTCGTAAAGGAGACACGCCAGGTCGTAAACCGGTAGACAGACAAACCCGCCCCTATCAGGGTTTCTGCTCATCCCGGTCAGGCGGTTGATGACGGTGCCGTCCACTTTCCTCCAGGTGAACGAGTCGACGGACAGGCCCTGTTGGCGGATTCTGTCCAGGACACCCGCACGGCGGAGGACGCTGCGCGGCGTACATATCAACCTACAGCCCACCAGAAATACATGTGCCCTGCTCGAATAGGGCAACTCAAAACAAGATCTCTGACTTCATGGACGTACCTGACAGCCGCTGGACCGTACGCTGCACCACGCGGCCTGGAATCCACTGCGTCCATCGCTTCTACCACGTCGACACTGATGCCGTGATTCGCGAGCATCAGCGCAAGCAGAAGCCCTGCCGGGCCGGCTCCCACCACAACGACTTTAGACTGGTTGCTATCCGTCATTTTTGTTCTCGAGACGGCACAATAGGGGGTCAAGGGGGGGGGGGGGCTAATGGGAATCAAGAAGTGAATACATCAGAATCCCTTACAGTATATGAAACGTTTGGAGTCATATGGAGACTCGAACTCCCCTATTCCTTGGGTATAGCGCTGGGACCACTGGTACGGCGTGTCGGATTGGGCTCGGTCCGTATCATGTATGTGGCCTGGCCACAATGTCAAATGTAGGTGGAAATAGCCATAGGTGACGCTTCTGATCGTGAAAAGCATGTAGTCACAAGTCACGGACCGGGTGAATGGGGTTTCGGTCCGCAGTTACTCTCTGCAGTATATCACTACTTCGGCGCTTCAGCCAGTGTCATAATCTTGCTTCATTGAATATAACCGCCAAGTGAGAACGATGGCACATCAGCTTCCTAGTGAAAAAAGGGTAAATGGAAAATTTCACTGTCTCAATCAGGTGATAGTGGAAGTAGTTCCAGGTCCATGCTCTGATATAGCTCGTGTAGATGTACACCGTGTCCTGCAATCGGCCCCGGTCTCTGTCGGCTCTACTCTACTTCAAACGGGCAAATTCAACGGTCCTTACAACACCGGACGATGTGATGTCGGAAGTTTCGGACCATTGATTAGATCTCAAGACCACAACAGGATGTATTCCGGACAATGGAAGTACATAAATAGCCCTGACCTAGGGACGTTGGAGAAGGAAACTGTCATAAGTATTGTCGTCCGCACCCAAAGTGTCCAGAAATGGCAGCATATTCCAGTCACCATCAACATTCGCAAAGTTCCCCTATAAAGAGTGACAGGTTAGCAATGGCGGAGACGGCTTTCCTCGACACGCCCACTTACCTGGCCCAGTGCTGCAGAAACCGACCGCGAGTTTGTATTCTGGGGGCTATAGTTGTCTGATCGCTTGCTCTGAGCATTCGCGCTTTTGACTCCGCGCCCCTGGTTAAATCTGGAGGTCTGACCATTGTCGTGTCTTTTGTTGGCAGCTTTGACGAATTTAGCCGCGAGGTTGACGGACTCTCTTGCTAGAGAGATGGATATCTCAGAAGAGGTCATAAAATCAATGTACCCAAAATGGCCCGCACAGATGTCGAGGAGGCCAAGGTCGGCGCTGGCGGTGGGAAAGGTCGGATGTTTCAGCACATGCACAAATAAGCTCAGATGTGCATATATAGGATAAGTAACTGCCAGCCATGTAGGTGTGGCTGCATTTGTGGTTACTATCCGGACTGCTAGTAACATCTTCCGGGCAGCTTCCGTCACCGTCTTTGACGAAGCATGCAACTGCGCCTCCAAAGCAACATCTGGACCACGATCACAAAGCCGGACGGAAAGCCAGGGGTAGAAAAAGTGCGAGTGAAGCGCCAATAAACTGCCATGGATTGCGAAGTAGAGATACAAGGTGTGGAGACGATGGGCCATTGGATGTGTCTCTTCAGATAATTTGGCAAGGGTACCAACCTGGAGGTCGGATGGAAAGTCATCAAGCAGGCTTTTGAGCTGTCGGTCGATGTCGTTCACGACGTTGAGAAGCTCATGGGGAGATAACCTTTGTGCCTTTGTTGACATGATTTCCTGAAGGATTCGGGAGCAGATCTTTGCGTGCCGAGTTGCTAATGTGGTGGCTTCTAGATATATGGTGCTGTTAGGTGGGACTTTCGATGGGATTGAAACACTGATTATATAGTCGTCAATCATCGATGGCCTTCCGCTGGCGAGACAGAGATGCTTTTCTAGCGCATACACTGCCCACCACACCCAGGTCTTTTTCAGATGGTTGTCCGATGAGGAGCTCGCCCGATGGTCTGACTCATGACCAAGGTGTAAGCCCTGCGTTAGTGCCGCATGAACCGCATTATGGCATAGCACGCGCTGAATATCAGGGCTTCCAAGCCCCTCGACGTAACAAGCCTAATGTTTCGAGGATCAGTTATATCCTGCCAAATCAAAGGCGCCATACCATCAATGCCAGTCCTTGTACGACCATAAGTCTTGAAGGCGACAGGAGGAGTCCAGTCAAGACCGACAACGCGTTCTGGAAATAGCCTTCCCAGGCCGCTTTTCGGGCTATGTGGAATGGGATTTTTGCAGTCTTGGCCATTATACTTCGATAGCCAGCCGCAAACACGACGTTGCGGAGAGCGATCTCGGCATAATCATTGCGGGAGGAGGAATCGTCGAGAAAATGCGCTTGAAGTTGGGCTTCAAAGTCTGGGCGATGGATGAGACCTAAGCGAGCTTCCCAGCAATTTTCAAAGAAAGCTACGGAGGCTGTCATTTAGAATAGGATCCCCGATGCTGTGGTGTTGGTGCGGGAATAACTCACCGTTGACATACTCCCAGGCAGTTTCCTCGCTCGGCTCCGCTCTTGCTGCGCCCAGACCAGGCCAAGCGCTGGTTGGAGCCCATGGCTCAATGCTTCGGTTGAATCTCTCTGTCATGTCGGCAAAAGTGAGGCTGGCGGTCGTCTCACACACCCATGCGATCCCAGCATTAGTACAGGCAGACAGCCAGACAGCAGCGTCCCCCATCCGAGCCACGCTGTCCACTGGAGTAGTTGAGCCATAAGAGAAATCGACTCCAGCAGGCCTCGCAGTCGCAGCTTTCTCCAAGGATGGCCCTCCCGAAGAGAGGAGTGACAGTGCTGGACCTAATGAGGATTCACAGTCTTGTACTCTTGGAGCCTGTGAAGGCGATATCGAGTTCGAGGTCGATGGGATGCTCTGTTGTGTTGTCGCAACACCTTCTCGCACCACCGCAACGGTATGCTCGGCACTGGTTGACGAGGACGGTCTCTCCACAGAGACACAGGAAGAATTTGGCAAATCGTGTCTAGCTTCCTGGTCTTTGGATAGGGGCACCACATCTCTGCTGACAGCCGCGTGGTTGTTTCGCGTCGTCCTTGTCCTTGTCCGACGTTGCTTCGGTGGATAGATACATTCTGCTGTCGACTTCGCACAATGTCTGCATGGATGGCCGCCAGAGCCTAGAGGGGGTTTAGGCAAACAGCAGGCTGGCCACAGAGCATAGCAACTTACATCTCACTTTTCGGAGCCTACAAGCTCGACAAGCAATAGGTACCCTGTCGCTTTTCTGCCTTTCCGGCGGTGTAGACATTGTACGTTGCGCATCAACTGTGGTGCTTTCTGGACATTGGTTTCCAATGACACTCAGCCACCATGGCGAGGATGTGGCATTTGGGATAATGAAGGAAATCAGCCCGGGAGGCACCTGAAATCAGCATCCTAGCTCCCTTCCCCCGCGACTGGACCCGACTTGGCGACCTCTCCATGCTCTGCTTGTTAATCCAGCCTCCGCGGGGTGCGCATGGCCGACCACGAATGCCCCCGTCAGGCCAATGAATAATGAGTGTCGAGCACCTCCGCGTCAAGCCCAAGTGGCGCTGGGAACCTTAACTTTCTACCTCGGAGCACCGTCTGGCCGGCCTCGAAAGGCTGGCTCATGCTGCAAGCTAATTTACCCCTCTAGTTACTTCTGCCACCTTTACTGTGGTTTTCCTTCTACCATCCTATGTATTGACTGTGAAATCAACAGTCTAGGAGAAATCAACTGGCATAACTCAACTGATTCGCGAGAACAGTGTTTCTTTTGCTTCCATTTGGAAAGGAGCCCATGGCTGACCGAGAATACATCCACATTGAATCCACTCCATATGCAAACGGTTCGACATACCAGCAACAATATTCCTTCGACAGTCTCAGCTTCCAAGATGGCCTTTTTGACGACGGAGACCTGTGGCCTCTCGCTGAAGGATTCTTTGACTCTGCAGGAATCTCAGCAACCCTATCAGGGGCTGACACTTTGCCTCAGATTGTCGCACCAGAACCTCTGGGAGACATTGATGATTTGATCCAAGACCAGTTCATCATCCCTACAGAACACTCACGTGCCATTGGTGAACATAGTTCTACCAATTCAAATGATGGCGGCGACGCAGTGACGCTTGGCTCTCACGACCTTGAAAGCGTAAGTGGCAAGATGGGCGTATTCAACTTCGATCTGGCATGATACTGATTGCCCTGACAGATAATCCCAAACCATTATGGTGCGTGCGTTCCGTTTCGATACCCCTTCCAAGAGTGACTTTGGTAGGGTTTGGGTACTGGCTCTCAATCTGTTCTGCTCCTGGAATTGCGTGGATTTGCCAAAAACACAAATCCAACGAGTTTGCTGAAATCGCCGAGGAAATGAAAGCCAGCTGGGCGCAACAGTCGAAACTGGAGCACACTCAGCCTATGTCTCAAAGTGCTGAGCCCGAGCCATCACTTGCTTGGTTGTATTGCAGCGCCTATTTCGAGCGCTCCGTGGACAACCTGTGGGAGAGCGTCTATCGACCGGACTTCGAACGGCACTTACGGGCGCACCTTTCGGGGAAAGTACAGTATGACGACCCAGCTTGGTACGCTCTTCGTAACGCCGTCTATGCTGGGGGCTGTCGGATATATCGATCCCAGTTTCCAGAAGCCAACCCATCCGACGTTCAGAGAGAATCTTGGAGCTATTTCTCCAATTCCCTGTCTGTTCACAGCAAATTGTTGCTCACCAAACCAACACTGCGCTCAGTTCGAGCTCTATTGACCATGGTGAGCTCATGAGCTGCTATATCTCGCAGGGAAGGTACTAAGATGGATCAATGTCAGGCCCTATTTGCAGAAGGCTTAGCAAGCCCAGCATTGAGTTCGGGCTTAGCGTCAAATGCCGCACTTCTTGCACAATCCCTAGGTCTTCATCGGAAGCGAGTTGATACCGGCGCTGATGAACATTCGGAGGCTCTTCAACCCACTTGGCTCTTCTGGGCGGTGTATTGCACCGAGAAACACATCGCACAGCGCTGTGGCCAGCCTTCTGTAGGTAGGGTCAAAGCTTTGAGGAGATTATCGACTGATCCGTCTCCAAGTTGATTAACGACGACGACATTACTTGCGACATACCCACGACGGTTCACCCTGGGAGCACCATTGAGCTTGAGACGCTCACCTATATCATCCAGACATGTCGGCTCTACCACGAGATCAGTAAGCAAATGCTGACTACCCGAGCGCTTCAAGAGCCTCCGGAGAAGATGCTCAGCCTTGTCGGACAGTTTGACAACCACCTACGAGCATGGAAAGAGTCGATGCCGTTACAGCTCCGGCCCACCGATTTCCTGAAACAATTCGAGATGCCGGGGAACAGGAAGCTTTTGGGGCTAATGACGGCACACTGTTCCTTCTACGACTTGGTCATGGCGGCTCACTCTACGTTTCTGTACCCGTGGGTCATCCAGTCCTTCTCCGAGAATGTAGATGCAGAGCTGGCTCAGCGGATCAAAGAACAAATTCGTGTCAGTTCGCAATTGGTCGCAAACGCCTCGCGGAGTCTCATTGTCGTCGTACGCAGTCTGGATATGGACAGTGTTGGTACCCAATCGTGAGTGTGTGGCATCCGGCATCTGTCTGGTGTACTGCTGAAACTTCCTTCCCAGGTTCGCGCTGCATTTCCCAATGCGGGCTTTTGTCAACCTCTTCGTCTTTGTTCTCCAAAACCCGCGATTGCCTTCTGTGCAGTCAGACCTGGCGCTCCTGGACGTGGCAGCGGGGTACTTCGGCCAGATGGAATTCATAACTGGGTCCAAGATCAGTTTCCCATTTGCGCGGGACATTGCAGCTCTCGCTCGAGGCGTCGTCGCCGAAGCCCAAAACACCTCATCCGAAGCCGCGAGACAGACGAGTCGCAATGTCCAAATGAGCATTTGACCAGCACGAAACTAGCGTATGCTGAGTAAATTATGAATCATACCACTATATGAGCCCAAGGTAAAGATTTTGCAGAGATGCAACAGATGCCCAGAGGCAGGAGTGCAAACTTCGATTTGGACCTTTGGATCGATACCACTACAACGAGGCTCATAGCACCCTTTCTGATCACCAGCCCGCTCCCACGAATACTTTGAAATGGCTTCACGGGCAGTATTCATCATGAGCCAGCCTTTGCCAATATGCCCCTCCTTGCCGGCGACAACGGATTTCCACATCGGGTAGAAGGAGCGCCATCAAACATTCGCAAGAATAGGTTGCTCAGCCGAATTTGGCACGATCGGCTGATAGTAACGGATCCGGGGACCTTTGATCGTATCTTGGACGACGGCGCGGCCAATGAATTCCAGCGCCGTCGCCTTTCCACCATGTGGCTTAATGACCGCCCCTCCCACGATCAACAGATCCAAGTCCTGCCCGTTGGCATCGTTCAAATAGATCTTGCGAAGCTCGTGACTGCGGATCTCAAATGCTTCCCAGATGCCCTCTCGTGACAAGGCGATGTCTATGACAGCAAAGGTTCAGGCACGGATCCAACATCTCCAATTCTTGACTTCTCGCCAGGATGGAAGAGAGGTGTCGCACAACAACGTACCTTGTCCTTGGAAATATCCCGACGAGGAAAAGAACTTCCCGTCCTCGGTGAACACATCTTGAACCAGCTGAGAGCCAGCTTGCGGTGACTTGCTATCGAGCAGTTGGAAGAATAAGTCTACCAACGTTATGACTTCCCCTTTGAGGCTCGCGGGCCAGCTGACAGGGTGGTTGGTAGATGACATTGATTCCAGATGAGTTTCGTCTTGATTCCGCATGGGACGAGGAATCTCTAGCGACTATAACTCGAAGGCTACAAGCACGACTATTTTCCGCAACTGATATATATCACGGCAGCGGAAGTGGAACAGATTCATCTTCGATGGGTTTCGGGCCGAGGAAGGCGTCAGCTTCGTAGGACCTCTGTCCAGTGTCTGAAGGCACTTTGCACAAAAATAGGGAAAATTCTGAAAGAAACAAAAAATTAAGAAACAAAAATGCAAGTCAGTATTCGAGTAAGCAGCTTGGTGTTACAATCTCTTGTCAGAACCATACTTCGACTAGAGACTTTGATTCGTAATACAAGACGTAAATCGCAGGGCAATATTTGCAGGTTCTGTGGCTCAGAACTGAGCCAAGGCGAACTTTACTATGCACTCACAAGCCCCTGCAGAAAAGTATGCCTCTCGATGGTCTCGCAGTTGGCCTTGTACTTGGTAACGATAAGATCTCGATAATGCTAGTCAGGTTCAGTCTCGCAGCGCACCCCCCTTCGCCCTGAGCTTCTCTCCATAGATCTGGAGGGCGAGAATGATGAGCCCTCCCGATGCGACAACCCCGGCCTGCGCGCCAAAGGATACGTCAAACCCGGCCCTCAAGCCCCAGCCTTGCTGGAAATACCCGACCGAGAACCCACCGATGATGCGCGCGAAGTTGAACCACGCCGACACCTCGCCCGGCGCGTTGCGGTACGAGTCAAGAGCGTAGGCGAACAAGGGCACGGAAAACATCATGACCGCGGCGGTGTACATGGCCCAGCCGAAGGCGACTGCGACCCACGAAAGATGCTTCTCCAACGCCTGGCCGACCAG